TTTCTAATGAATCGTCAACGGCTCAACGCGTTCCACAACAGCTGGTATGCAATCAACTCGCAATAGGTCTTGTTGAGTGAGTAGCGAAAAGAGCGCATCAAAATTTTTTGAGGCATAGTTCAAGCAAGATGTGTAAATACCAGTACTTCCACTGCAGAAGCGCGCTGGCTCCTCTATCTATATGCCTTTCTCTTGCTCGCATGATTTTGACTCTGACTCATCGTGCAATGCTGATCATCGTGAACGAATTGTAAACAACTACTCCTTCCATGAGTTTCTCCATGTATGATCGGTAGTTTGGGGGAAAGAAAATCTTTGTGTAGAAGATTAAAAGAGAATTTTGGTCAGTCACTGAAGTTACTATGGTCAGGTGGTTTCCATAAAGGAGAGTCGCTTCCGTCACCTATCTTTCTGTGTAGAAATCTTCACAAATAGTTAGATGAAAAACCTTGACAAATTATTAATCTAATTATTCCTTTTTGGTTAACATAGATATTTTGCTCACTTTTTGGGCTTAACTCCACTTCTGTGCATATACCTGTTAAGCAAATTCACATCGCAAAAAGTACAATCACCGACCCACTTTGGAGGGCCAAAGGTCGCGTGGTCCCGTTTCAGTACGTAGGCTGGAACACCCTCCACGAATTTCGTAAGAGACGGACAGATGCACACACAAAAACACGTAAACAATCCTTAGTCCGTTATCGTAAGGTTTTGATCTTTCCGAATAACTCGCGAGTTCTCCTGTTACTGCCCTTCGCGTTATGATCGACTCTTCTTCATATGTTGACAAAATAGTTTGGGAAAGTGAGAGTGATATGTCCGCAGGCACTTTCGACTATCGTCTTAGTCAGCTTCTTAAGGCTACTGCAAGTATACCGTAGTGGCATACTGTATGCATGATTTTATGGGAAAATTGACTGGCCCGTAAAAGAGCTTGGTCCCAGAAGGCGGACAAGAGAAGTTTGTGTAATAGTCTGTGTTAACAAACGTGTTCTTTTTGAATTTGCCTCAAGCTAGGAAATACAGATACCGTCACTTTTACTCGTGTGATAATGGAAAAAATTTAGATGTTTATCATTCACTGGGTTACCAATTGTCGACGCGTTGGCGGAAAAGACGCCATCTAACTCCATTGCGGTCGTTGAAGGTAATCTGCAAGGCAGACGATCAGAGAAGATGTTAATATAGTAAAAACTGCACTTACCACTCCGGTAGTAGCACCGGTGAGTCCTCCATTGGTGCCGACGGGAATCTATGTAAAAGGATTATTCTATATTAGTTACTAGCAGATGTTGATAAAATAGATAGGTGACTCACCGCTGTTAGAGTGGCACCGTTGAGCCCTCCATTGGTGCCGGCGGCAGCCTAAATTCAGTTCAACGCATTTAGTAGATCCTCATAAAATAAATAGAGAACCTACCACTCCTTGAGTTGCACTATTAAACCCTCCACTGGTGGCGACAGGTATGCTGACACTGTTTAGTCCTCCATTGTTGGCAACGAATCTGGGAATCTGTACAAGAATTATTTTAGATTATTAAACTAGCAGATATTTATTGAATAGAAGTAAGACTTACCGGTCTTATACCAGCATCGCTGAGTCCTCCATTGATGGCGACGGGAACCTGCATAATGAACAAGTTTTAGATTATGAACGTAAGAGCTGATGAGATGGATAGGAGACTTACTACTCCCGAACTAAAACCACTGACTCCTCCATTGGTGCCGACGGCAATTTATTGGGTTTAAAGTAGCAAATTAGCAGAATAATGGATAGAGACTTACCGTTCCTGAAGTAGCACTGTTGAGCCCTCCATTGGTGCCGACGGCAGCCTTCAAATAGAATTTTTAGATTAGCAACTGGTGGATGCTGATGAATCAGATAGGGAACTTACCAATCCTAAAGTAGCACCACTGAGTCCTGCATTGGTGGCGAGGGGAATGTTGACACTGTTCACTCCTTCGTTGGTGGCCACGGGAATCTGTATAATAAATATATCGATTATAAGATTAGCAGATGATGAATGGAATGTGAAAAGACTTGCTGCTTCTAGGCTGACGCTATTGACTCCTCCATTGGTGCTAACGGGATTAACACTGTTGAGTTCTCCACTGACGACTGGGACCTGTATGATAGACATATTTTAGATTATCAAATTAGCAGATGCTGAAGATGCATAGCAGATAAGAGGGCTACTCCTGAGCTAACACCACTGACTCCTGCATTGGTTGCGACGGGAATGTCAACTCCGTTAGATCCTCCACTGGTGGCGACGGGAACCTGAGTGATAAACATGTCTTAAAATCAATATAGCAAATGCGATCAAATAATCAAAAGGCGTACGGTTCCTAGATTAACGCTGTTAAGCCCAGTGGTGCCAACGACAGCCTAAATAGTTGGATTAGCAAATCAACGCGGACGGTGATAAAATAGTCAAGACTTACTGCTCCTGAAGTAGCGCCGGTGAGTCCTCCATTAGTGGCGACGGAAACCTGTAAGATAAACATATTCTCTATTCTTTACCGCACGGACTGGCATCGTCTGCGGCTGCAAGTGCGCGGTTAAAACGCTACGAAAGCATAAGTTGTACATTTGCTTCTTGTACTAGGACAAGCATTTCACCGCGCGTCGCATACGCCGCAGCGAAAGCCAGTCCGTGCGGTTGATGAGACACCTGTATTCTGAATTAATGTATTAACGGATGCTGATGAAATGATAGAACGCTCACTACTCCTGAGTTAGCACCATTGAGTCCTCCATTGGTGCCGACTGGAATGTTAACAGCGTTGACACCTATGGTGCCGACGGGAACCTGTATGAGAAACGTATTTGAAACTATCAACTCAACAGGTGGTGATGT